AAAGAACAGTTTAAAGTTAAGAAAATAATAAATCTAATAAATAATATTAAATTTATAATTAAGGTGTACCACTTACTAATAACTATGCAAAAAACTAATAAATAAAAAGATTATAATTAGTAAAAGTAATTGTAGAACTTTAAAAGTTGTATTATCGATGTAAACGAGCCAAATTGTTCACTACATGCTAAATTTTTGTGCTTATTAGTTCGGTTTATATATTTTAGACGATAGACAATAGTTATTTATACTTTTATCCATGTAGGTTAGAAATTTATTTTTATTTTTTTAATAAAAGCTTAAAGAACCCTATAATGGTGGTACGATATATGTATTCAGTGATTATGAAAATGACTTAGTTACCTAATATTCTGTCAAACATTGGAAAAAATTTGTAAACTTTTTAATCTAATAATTCGTATAAAAAGTACATTTTTCAAATATATTAAATTAACATTGTATCTTATGCAATCTATTACTATATAATACGGAGAAGAAAAATTATTTGAACAATCCGTAAATAATCATTTCGTTTTCCCGCTTCAATATAGTGTTTTTCCCGCTTCTTCAATTCGTAAAATTTTTTTTTGAATTTTTTCAACCCATGCAATTAGGTAACCAATCAAATCGAACCTTTTAGCATTCAATTTGGTAAGGTGTTCTGATTTTAGCATTCAAATCCGATTTCACTTCCTTTTTTTATGCCAATCAATCCGATTTTTTTGGTTGTTTCAAAATTTGTTTAGATTTATATTTTTATTTTATTAATATATTTGAAAGAGAATCAATAAATGATTATCATAACTTTTATTTTAAAAATAAATTTGAATAAGCATACCTTTTATTTTATATGAAATTCAAAATTACATATTTTAATATATTAATAAATGTTTATTATTTATTTTTTCCTTATGTGATATAATAGAATTTCGGTATTAAATTTGTAAATTCAAACATTTAAAGGAAAAGATTCCAAACAATTTTTTTGGGTAAATTTCATTTTATCTTGGTTTTCATTATCACATTTCTAACAAACTAATTAGTATTATATTTTTTTATCTACATTATCTAACCGATTTTTTATGATACAATTAATATAATATCTTAACAAATTAATCATTTGTCTAACCGGATTTATCTCTCTAACAAACTTGCCAATTTTTTTAAAATTAAAATGGTATGATTATTCTTATGGAGATACTTATCAATATATTAAATATTTAGAAACTTTTTTTAAAAAATGAGTTATCCCTCCTTTTACTTTATTTGAAATTCTGACTTATATTTTTAAATATATTATTATTTATTTTTTTACATGTAAATATTTATTATTTATTATCTAAGTGATAAATATTATTGATTTATCTCTTTAATAAATATTTATTATTTATTTTTTTCCTTACGTGATATAATGTAAATTTGGTTACTAGATTTTTAAATTCAAACATTTAGGAAAAAAACCACGAACAAATTTTTTGGTTACATTTCATTTTATTTTAACTTTCATATAATCACAATCCTAACAAACTAATTAGTATAATATGTTTTTACCCATTTTTATATAATCGGATTTCTTAAAATATAATTAATATAACATTTTAACTATTTAATCATTTGTATAACTTGATTTAACTCATTATCAAACTTGCCAATTTTTTTTATGAAAGTAAAAAAAAATTGGAATATTTTTATTTGTAAAATAATAAAAAAAAGCTTTACTTTAAAGTCTGGATTATTTCCATTATTTTTTGTACGTTAACAATCATATATTTTGGATTATTGATTTAAAAAAACAAATCAAAACCGTAAGGTTTAATAATATTCCTTAAATGAAAAATATTGTATAAAGAAAAGTATTTAATATTATATATTTTTCATTGATTGTATTTATTTTATTTTCATAATAGAAGAGATGTGAAAAATAGAAATAATTATATTTAAAATAAAGTCTAAAAAATGTTTAAAATATGAACTCTTCCGTGCATCGCACGGGATATACACTAGTTATAGTAGTTGTAGCCTAATAAAAAAGATAATTGGAAAACATCATTATATAAAACACATACAAAAAATAACGCATTGCATATTAATGTGCTTCAATTATTTAGCAAATAAAATATTATATGTCTATAGGATAAGAAACAAATAATATAATAGTAACACAATGAGAAAAAGAATACGTGTGAATTTTCTTAGAGAAGTATAAATACCAATATTTACAAACAAAAAGTCTTTGAAAATTGCTACTTTTTTGTTGCTAGCGTTTAAATATATGGACTCTGTAAGAAATTTGGTTTTCATAAATAATGATCCTATATTATTTATTTTTAATCTTAATTAATTAAAAAATCTAAAAATTTGTAATACATAATGTATATTTTAATCATGACTCCATAATAATAAACTTTGCAGATGACTAAGAGTATCGTAATATAATAGAATTCTAATTCTTCTCCTATCAAATATTTTAACAAATGATATGTTTCTCAATATTTTCTCGTTGTTTTGATTGTTTTGTTTTGTCATTGTTGGAGAATAAAGAAATGATCTTTATCTTGAATTTTATAATCATTTTGTATGATGAATAATGTTGGACAATAAAAGCATTAAAGAAGTTATTAGGCACACAAATATTGCATATTCAAACGAATGTGAAAGATATTATGATAAACAATTCTAAAATTATTGCAACAACGATGATGGTCAATAGTTTTCAAATAATAGATTATATTGTTCGTCTATATTCCAAATAAATTAATAACAATATTGGAGTATCAAAACAGTTTGAATGTTCGAATGAAGTTGTCACTTTTTATAGAAATATTTATAATCTCATTGGTGTATTGTACTCGAACATATGCGCAATTACTTTAGAGGTACTTTTAGGTAATGTATGATGATTTCAAAAAATAATTTAGCACCTCGGGAGAAGTACATGTCACCAAAATTTTGGAAAGTCAACTTTATTTGGAGATCAAATTTGTTCACACCTCGTGGGGCAATGCATCAATGGGGTAGGCACCAATATGTCTAGAGACAGAGAAATGTAGTAGTTTATACCATGATAAAAAATACTAGCAATTTTAATGACACAGTTAGTTATTTCATAGCGATATTTATGCATTGTTAGTAGAAGTACCTTATTATAAAGATTATACGATCATGAAGTTTGACTATATGTTGGGTCAGAATGTTTCTTAAGTGTTTGAATAAAATTAGTGGTTTGCCAAATGAATTAAGAGGAATTTTGCAATAGTATTGATGTATTGGACTCCAGCGAGTCTGAATATTTCTTATGAGAAAGATGAAAGAAAATCTTAGTGTTTTTTGTATTAAGGTCCTCAGGATATTTTTATATTTCATTTCATTACTTTTTTTTATTAATGTTCACAATTTATATTGAAAAAAAAATATATAAAAATGCAGTTCCTTTTATAAATATTTTATATGCATATAATTTTTTCATGTATAATAAAAAAACTTATAAAGTCATATAATTTATTTCATAATTTTTTTATTAAGAAATTGTACAAAATAAAATTTATGCACTACACATTTTTTCTTATATAAATCATTTCAGCATTTTTCTTTATATTTATCAATTCTATATATATAGAGAGAGAGGATAAGATTTACTAAATATAGTAGCAAAAAAAAATCGAGAATATATAATAATACATTCATTGATTTTTTTTAAATACATGCATTAATTGTTTGTATATAAACGTTTCAAATCAGATCAAATCGGATATGATTAAAAATATTATTTACTTGAATAATTTTATTAACATGTGCAATAACTTCATTGATATTCATTATAATAAATTACAATATTTTCATGTTGATAATATTTCGCCTAATTCATGTTGATAATATTTTGGTCAAGATAAACATGAAAATAAATTTTAAGTTCTAACTAACCAATAACCGTACTATTGTTTTCCACAAATATTTACTTTTCATTTATTTATCAAAAATCGTAATAGGTTAGGTTTCATTCCCATTAATCTGTCAAAACCAAGTTAGTGAACCTCTATTTTTGTCAGTGCAATTTTTCTGAACCTTTATTAATTATATGAAAAAACCTTTATTTAATTATATGAAAAAATTTGTAGACTTGCCCTAAGGTCAGGTTAACGGTCTGATTAATAAAAAATAATAATTCAATAATACCGAAATGGATGATCCAATCCAATTATTTTCTTAGTCTAAACGAACAAGATATATAAAAATGATTTATTTAACATGTATATCATGTGCATCATCCGGGCTACTTACTAGAATATTGTAAATAATAAACTTGTAATTGAATAATCGCCTCGTGAATGCCATAGCACTTCTCGTGTTTAGACTACAAACGACCCGAGCCGAGTTGAAGTCAACATACTTATTTTAGCTCGATGATCCTTTGTTGCTCGCGACTCGGCTCGACCCGACAACAAAACACAAAGTTCGAGATCGACTTAAATGTGATTGGCTCAAATTCTACTCAAGTTCGGCTAAAAAAATTTAATTAAAAAAATGTCTAATAATGAGAATTTAGATAATATTACATACATTTAAGTGGCTTGTCAAACGCTCGTATATACAAACTACATGTTCGAATTCAAAATGCTCTAACTTGACTCGAGTTTAATCGAAATCGAGTTCAAGTCAAGCTTTCGCGAGCTGGTTTGACTCGTTTGCAATCCTAGTAGTGTTTTACACTGATTTATCTTGGTATTACAAAATTAATTGAAGTACTATACTTGCCGTGTTATTAATAGCCAGTGACAAATTATAGAAAGCGACAATAATGACATATCTATGTTTCCTGGTTCGTGAACAATGTTTAAAAAATATGGGGCTCGACCAGCAGATTGCGTGGTACCGACTGATCATATAGTTGACCAGACATTTTATAATCATTCTTACATATATATGTGTCCGTGAGTAACATGCGTTTAATCAATTAATAGTTCTTGCTTTTCGAGTTATAAATAACCAAATATCTCTAGACAGTCACTAATAAATGCGTCCCTCTAAAGTCTGAACACTCACCAAAAACACTCACCAGGCCCCTCTTATTTTTTCTTCAGTTATTCATAGATCAATCTAAGAAATTAGAAATGCCTGAGTTAACATTTCCTGGAATCCAATCTGCTTCAGCGAAAAGGTACATATATAAGCTTCATGTAAAGAAATAAGTTTTGTTTCCTTATCTCATAAGTTTGTTTAGTACCTTTTCAACTGTCGAAGTTTTTTAGTTCAGATCTAATTTCACCAAAAACTTTCACAATATCAACTAACCATTTTTGTTTTTTGGTTTTTGGAATTCTGATCGTTTTACAGATTGGAGGGAAAAGTGGCGATCGTAACTGGAGGCGCGAGAGGAATCGGGGAGGCGACAGTACGTCTGTTCGCGGCCCACGGAGCCCATGTAATAATCGGTGACGTGGAGGACGATCTCGGGAATTCGCTCGCTCGAGCGCTCTCCCCCAACGTGTCCTACGTCCATTGCGACGTCGCCTCGGAGGCCGACATCGAGTCCCTTGTGGGGTCCGCGCTGTCGAAGCACGGCCGGCTCGACATCATGTTCAACAACGCCGGCATCCTCGGCAACCAGTCAGCATCCCGCAAGACCATCCTCAATTTCGACGCGGAGGAGTTCGACCGGATCATGGCCGTCAATGTCAGGGGCACCGCCCTCGGAATGAAGCACGCCGCCCGCGCCATGGTGGCCGGCGGCAAAGGTGGCTGCATCATATCGACGACGAGCGTGGCTGGGGTGATGGGGGGATTGGGGCCCCACGCGTACACGGCATCCAAACATGCGATCGTGGGGCTAACGAAAAACGCGGCCTGCGAGCTCGGCAAGCACGGGATAAGGGTCAACTGCATCTCGCCGTTTGGGGTGGCCACGAGGATGCTGGTGGAGGCGTGGAGGAAGGACGGTTGTGTCGTGACTGCGGAAGAGGAAGTGGAGAACACGGAGGAGTTTGTGAGGTCAGTGGCGAATTTGAAGGGGGAGACACTAAGGGCGGATCATATAGCCGAGGCGGCACTTTTCCTTTCGAGTGACGAGTCGAGGTACATTAGCGGCCACAATCTCGTGGTTGATGGCGGTGTTACCACCTCTAAGAACATTGTCGGTTTGTAATTTTTTTAAGTGTCGGTTTGTGTGTTTCTAGTTTTACAGTAAGTATGCCAAAGTACGATTGATTGTCTAAGGCTTAATGGAGGGAGGGAAGCTTGGTTGAGATCAGGTGAAGCTCCATAAAAAATTACAGATATGGTATTATTGACACACAAGCAAGCATATTTAGGTAATAAATCCAGATGAATCGATATTATGTTTGCGCGACTATAACAAAATGAGATTGTATATATATATATATATATATATATCTATAGACTGTAGTGGTTCATTGTTATCTACTTGATTAAAGTCGAATATGTGAACATCACAACTCAAAGAGAGGCTTCGTTTATTCATAAATATCGATATGCTAGCTCATCATCACATTGCAACAATGGCCGTTAGTTTTCGTATGCAAAGCATGGGAGGAGACAGGAGAGTAATTTATTTTTCTGTTTTTCTGTTTCTGGATTTGATCACGACTCAAACGCTTCCCCGACAGGGAGAGATGTGATTGGGGACCTCCCCTGGATTGTCCAGGGGCATGTACTGAGCCATGATTGCCCGAATTTCCGAGTCCATGTATCTCTGGATAGACCAAAAAAAAAAAAAAAATTATCTAGGTAGAATAGAACCAACTGTCGACGAATAAACGAGGATTGACTAGGCATTACCCGAATCCTATATTTGTAAACAGCATATCCAGCAACACCTGTCACGGTTAGGCCAAGAAAGACGATCCATATTATGGCCCCACCAACTTCTGTATTACCATCTTTACCTGCGCATTTCGCATGATGATAAATATTATTATTGTTAACTATAACAACTTGGGACTCTGTAGCATAAGTGTCGTGTTGGTGATTGTTAATCTTACTAATGCAAGTGTCGTGTTCGTGAATGTAGAGTAAGTGTCCCTTGCAGCTGCATTCGTAACTTCCCCACACGTTTTTGCATTTGCAGTCCCGACATTGACATGCCACCTTCTCCTTGCATTCGTCAATATCTGAGATATCCAATAAAAACATCAAAACTACATTCCCTTTTGTCATCTTTATTACTATTTGCAATATTATATTTACCTTCGCAATCTTTAATTCCATCACCTCTGAATCCAGAGGGGCACTTGCAGCCTGTTCTATGGTCATCCTAATAGGCGACACAAATCATATAAAAGCTAGAAAAAATTCATCTCTTTTCTTTATCGGAGAAAACTCACAGTGCAAGCAGAATATGTTCGTCCATTCTTGCTTTCCTCCCAACATCCTCCATTGTTTATTTCACATCTTAATGCTCCAGAAGCTGCTGTCAGGTTGAATAAGAGATAAGATTTCGATTCATCAGATCGTCTAAAATTGATATGTAATTACTGTTACCTTCGCAGTGAGTATAACCATCACCAATAAATTTAACTCCCTGCACAGTGGGACAATGACACACCCTTCCTCGAAAAGTATCCTGGCTCGCAAGTTTCACCAAACATCATACGGTGAAACTCAATTTTGGGAAGAACCAAGTTCAGTTTCTTAATCGGCAAAATTAGGAAATATTACTAGAAATCCACCTTGCATGCAGTAATGTTGGCTGATTTATCCTCCCAGCATCCACCATTGTTCTCCAGACACTCGTTCGTCTCCATGTCTGAAAATACCAATTAAAAGCATATAGATATATACTCATAACTACTTGTGAATTATATATAAATGCAAAGTTTACCTCTGCTCAAACAAATGGCAGGCTCAGTTGTCTCCTGGAAGGCTGAACAAATGGCTTTTAGAACTGCTCCTTTGTCCAATTTACCTCTATACTGTCGATTGTTTATAACCAAAGTTGGCAAGATCGTGACGTCTCCTCTCGATCCTTTTCCTATCTGAAATACATATCATAAGTGCATTTACCCTAAACCAAAATGTGATGTAATTAGGGAACTAATTCAGTTAGTTAGAGTTTAGACATACATACTTGTGCCTCCTGTTCAGCTGATAAAACTGGATTTTCAACATCAGCCTCAATATCCCCAATGCATTCATCTATCTTGTTAACATCGTAACCAAGCGACTGAATGACTCGATCAGCACACTCCTTTGTATACTTATTTTCCTTCATCGGGCAGCGGATCGAGAAGTCTGTGACGTAATCCCACCATTGCCAGGGCCTCCCGTTTTTCTTGGCGAGCTGGAAAAAGCACACCTGACGAAGGTTTTGGAGTACAACATCCTTGCCGTTGTACCCTCTGCTGAAATCCTGCTCTGGGTCGGGCGCGCAGTATCTCCCTGAATTGATGCACTGCGATTTGCACTGCTGGCTGAGGATGAAGGCCTCCGGGCAATACCACGTGATGTAGTGCGGGGTAAACTCGGTGTACCCTTTCTGCTCAAGTATCTGAGCCGCCCCACGGAAGTCCCGCACGAAATCCATCTGGTTTTCGCATTTGGGCCCACACTCGTCGTTGCTGTTGGTCCAGAACTCGTACTCGACACGCTCGTCTGGGTGGGGGAGGGCTTCACGCCAGTCTAGATTCATACTCACCATCTCACCATTGTCCAATTCCTTTTTGATTCGGTCTCCGAGCTCCTTTGATATTAGAGCCGATGGGATAGTTATGTTCTGTAGATACTCCGATTGGCTGCCGGCGGCCTCTTCAGGTGTGTCCATTGTGATCAGAGGCTCTACACGGTCGTCAGCCACGAGAATGGCGGCTGCCCCAGCTTTCTGAGAATTCCACGCCTTCATCGTAAAATAACACTCTGCAATCCACAGTCAATTATTAGTTCGATTACACCAACAATACACACACGCACAGAGAGAGAGAGAAACCCTAGCTAGGTACCTCCTCTGTCAGCAAGAAGGAAAACGGGTATGCCGCCGGGCTTATTCTTCCAGGAGATGTCGGAATCCTGAAAAGCTTTGCATCCGTTCTGATTGGATTTGGGGTAGAAGACGGCGCCGACCATTGTGCCACCGTATTGAGGAACACCGAAATTCCCGATGGCGCACTCGTACACGCCTCTCAGCCGGTCGGGGGTCGTCACCTTCAAATTGTTCTTCTCCACCACAAATCTTCCAGAGCACAAACTCCATTTCTCCATCACATTTATCAGAATCATCAGTACACAGACAGACAACCTTTTCTTCGTTATTGATATTGCTCCTCCTCTCCAACAATTACTGCACTTTCCACTATTCATCATTCTCTTTTCGGTATTCCAGCTATTTCTTCTTTTTAAGAAATGATTAATTACTCCACCACTGATTGATTATTAATATCAAAAAATTGTTTCTTTGAGCTAACAATAACACACTAGATATGCAGATTATTCACTTCTTTCAATATATATAGCTGCTAAATTCAAGTTTCTTTTGTTTTTCTACAGAATTTTTAAAAGAAGAAATGATGGGGATGCTGGTTTATCATAAACTCACTAATTACACAAATTGAGCCTGTTTCTGTTTTTCAGATTCAATGACTTAAGGCCACGTAAACTAATTAAGCGTGGTAAGGAGAAGACAAGTATCAAGTAATGAATTGAAGTCCGCAAAGAAAGGTCGGTCTGTAGATCTAAAAAACCGTTGTTTGATCAAGTCTAAATCAAGATCCATTTAGTTTATCAAACGCCCTAATCATCAGCAAAACAATTAACACCTGGCGCTTTCAAGTTTCACCCCTCTTAGCTTATGTATTAGTATATTATTAACCAATAAACATGAGGAAAGATTAATAATACTCAGTGTGTGTAAATATAGTGTCCCACAATTAACGAGCCCCCAAATTCCTGCATGTAACTGTGTTTGCATATTTATATAACTAGTACAGAGCCCGTGCGATGCACGGGGTGCACAATTTTAAGGCTATTTATCCAGGCTTATAATTATATACATGAATAAAGAAAAATGTACGGGATATATATAGTATGTGACCCGTGCGAAGCACGGGATATATTTATTTGGAGAATATTATATTATAAGATGCAATATTCAATAAAAGTTTATAATACGCAAGAAAACTGTACAATGTTCAATAAAAGTTTTATAATATTCAAGTGGAGTCTTAAAGTCTCTTGTACATTAAGACTACTGACAAAATAATATTTTAATCAATGAGTTTCCTTTCCTTGTAGCCAAATTGTGAATGTGATTTGAGGAGTACAACAAATCGATATATAGCTGACTTGCTTTTTTCATTGTATTTTTTTTTTTTTTTTTTTTTATAATGAATTTAAAGATATTCTAAAATATAGCAAAAATTAATTTTTTTATTACAATTAGGAATTTTACTAATATAAACTCTCAATGTATGGTGTTAATCAACTTTTAAGTCTAAAAGGAATGTTTACCTCTTTTAATCAACGTTTAAGTCTAAAAAACAATAGAGTTATTATAAGTTTATTTTTACATCTTTTAAAACATTAAATATGAGCATATTAGGGCTAGCTTGTAAAATAATTAATATATTATCTCACTAAAATATTTATACTAATAAAAATTTAATTTTAGCATATAAATTTATCCCTTGATATAAGAGAAAGTAACAATTTTACTTATTGTTGTTCACCATATAATATTTAATTATTATTTTACTATATAATAAAAAAGGAATATTGTTAAATAGTGTAGTAGAATTATTATAAAATTATATGAATTTTTTTCTTACAATATGGATTTAATATTTTTTTATGATTTGATAATATAAACAAATCTATACTTAACTTTGACAAATAAAAAAAATAAATACTTTAGTAAGTATTTAATGTATATACTAAATAGGAATATATTTGGTATAATCAAATACCAAATATAATCAAATAAGTCAAAGTGTACATTTTTATTCGGTATTTGATTTTTTATTATTAAATTTTTTTTATTAGGCTTACCTTTTTAAAATAAAATAAATAAATAAATCAATTAAATAAATAAAATACTATGATACCAAAATAGTAATGGCATTTAATGCAGTTGACTTTTCGGGATAGTAAATGTAGTAAATAGAATCTCCTTTTATATAAGTATAGATTGTATAATACGGAAATAGTAATACAATAAATGATGTTGACTTTTCTGACTACTTAATTTGGTAAATAGGACTCTCTTTAATATAAGTATAAGTATAGATGTGTGTTATATGGGGGGACGTGTATATAAGGAGACCATAGAGAATATGTCATCTATCTCACTCCAAATAGAAAGTCTAATCTACAATACACGTCGAATTCTCTAATTAAATTAGCAATAAAAGCCACC